CATTGTACAGTGGCATTAAGTGCCGTAATGTGCACCTCTGCCTACCCCTTCGGGGATAAAAAGGCGTGATGTTATGATCAGCACAAACTTTCAAAGAACTCCTGGCCATAAATGTGAATTCGTATATAAAACGTTTTGAAAGTAGAGCAGACGAATTATAATACGAAGCAGCTAAACAACCTTCACATAAATATAATTTTATAATTCAGAAAGTTTATAAAGCCTGCAAATTTTTATCGCAAAAATTACTTATTTATTCCAATGTCATTTAATTCTAGGGTAAAGTAAGAAAATTTATTACCTGGATTTAAAGCATACGACAGTTTCTTCACGAAATTCGTAAGCCGAACAGCTACAATGATGAAAGGGAATCCAACTAACTGCACTGGTAATTCAAACGAAGTCTCCTGAGTCGATCCTTCCATTAGGATATCAAACATCAGAAAAGACAAAAGAGTCCCAATATAACACACTTTTGTTAACTCCATTATTGTCTATAGCACGTTTCAAATTTCGAATTGCAACTGACTTTTTTTTTGAATCGATTTCACTCACGAATAATCGATAAAGGTTTTATTAAATCAATTAACACGATTTTTTATAGTCTATGTATTGTATAACGCGCCGACCTTTGGTGGATTACTGAGCATTACTGACCGACCTTACCGTGTCCAGCCAACCTGGTAGTGTAATATTTCGTAACTAATAACTAATGCAGGCGTATTAATAATTCACTCATAGTCTCTTAATGGCTGCAGATTAACTAGTTTCGAAAATTTCACAAAACATGCTATTTGCTAATACTCCAAAACTTGTTTTGGTAACTCAACTGTTATTAACTTTTAATTTAATTTCTTTCTGTGCAGCGGAATTAATTCCATAAAGAATTTACGATATTGAAATATTACTAGCAGATTTTATATGCACTGAATGTCATAAATCAAGTTCAAGCTAGAGTTATTGATATTAAAGCGATGAATAATATTTACATTTGAATAAAACTCTCGTGGAAATGTAGGTATCATTTTGCAGACACCGGGCGTATATTTTATTTACGTCCAATGCCAATCTTGTTGCAATCTCATGAGTTACCTAAAACTGCCTTGGATTCAAACAATCAAAACACTTGAGCAATATGTTTTGCGAAATTTAGTATGCTGCGACACTGCGTGTTTATAAATTGAGAGAAACCGGCGACTTAGGAAAGAAAATCGAATTTAATATGCATATACAGAATCAATGCCAGACAGATTAGACATAACTATGCAGTCTCGCTGTAATAACTCAAATTTTACAAATCAATAAAATGTTAATAAAACCTTTTTGCTAAATAAAAAACACTGGCGAGGTATAGAAAAAATAAAACGCAGTGTTGCAACATCACAAGCTTCACATTTGAAAAATGGAATGTGTGTCTTGTTTTTTCTGCAAGTTGCAGTTACTGACACAGATAACATATTGCACCTGGTTCTAGAACTAAAGATCGAAAGTGGTCGGTGCACGCACGTTTAATTTTACGTTCAACGATTCGTCATTGACTTAACCGCGCGGGAATCGCACTAGAACTGCTGTATGACAAGATAGATCTTGGCTCAACCCCTCCCGACATGCCTACACTTAATAGCTTTTAACATTATGCAATGGAACGTACTTGAAAGGAATGAAGGTTGATAAAATTGCACGATTAGCTCTTAATACAAGTTTGGAATTACACGTTTTCTAAGTCTAGTAGCTCTATTGCAAGAAATAAATGTGTTAGGTACCTACTACTTTTAATTCAAATAGGTTGCGTTAACCCTATTTCATGTATACATTGAATTAAACCTACTTACATCTAAGTCTATCTTGACATAGTAAGCCTCATTTACCACATAGTTTTTACACATACGTCAAATATATTAAAGAAGCAGAATCAGGAGTTGACTATTATAAATTAATTAAATACAGAAATGTCATATTTTGTACTTAATTCCTAACTAATTTAAGTATAAGTGCCTACAATAAATAAATGTGTCAAAAACTGAGAGAATATTAATTCAAATAATAAATGAAAAAGTGACGAAAATATCTTTGCATATTTGCTTAGGACTACAAAATCTCACCTCTGTGCGAGCCAAAAATAGGTCTTCGAATAATGATTACAATATTTGCGTAACTCTCTCAAACATTGTAATGTTGTATTCAAAATTTTGAATACAATGAGGTGTAAATATCAACTCCTGTTTGCATAGTCAGTTGTGCAATCGTTGGCATTACAAATATCAGGTTTTCTATTGTGTTATTGTATATGTTATCCAAAAAACCTAACATTTGTGTAAAAAAATCGAGCGAACCGCTTGTATTTTTAATGAAATGAAATGAAATGAAACCTTTATTTGTGATTGGTCGAAAATAATAAAAGTACCATACTTTTTATGTTACCATAGTTTGATGCTATATTGATTGAAAAACTGCTGTTATAGTTCATTGTTGTGTAGGTACGTCTTTAACGGGACAAGGTTTAAAAAAAAGAAATAGAATAAAAACGGAAAAAACACAGGACAGATTCTAATTTTATCAAAAATGACGTGATTGACAAAGGAATTGGGTAAAGACCAGGAAAAGATGGAAAATAGAAAATAACTCCCGTATGATGTCATATGATGATGTACAGACAAAAAACAGTACACAAAGTTGAAAATAAAACATGAACATAACCTCATTTATACCTCTACAATAAAACGACTCAAAGTTTAGGAGTGGGGGGCTAAAACGTCATTTTTACGTATAAAATGTACATAGAAGTGACGTCACGCGATATATCAAATAAATATATCGTCGAAAGTATTCGTTTCTGTAATAAAGTAAAAAATACGTGTCTAATGATTTAAAATAATCTACCAGACGGACATTAAAATAAAATTAAAACAGCAAATAAAAAACGAAAAATAAGAAATCAGTTAGGCGTCGAAGAATTCATCAGCGTCACTGTTATTGGGGACGTGCCTAACCTCATTTTAATATAAGATACGTATTTTACTTTTACTTTGCACCTAAAACTGCATCGAAAAATCTTCTCCACCCAGCTAACAAAGCTCAATAAAAGTCAGCAACATTTTATTCTGGCACAATGGGCCGCAACTGAACCGAGTATAGATTTCACACTGAACTGGAGCCAAAAATACACCAGACCAGATACTAAGCCTGATTTCACAAAGGCGCAGTTTCAGGAAAGACTCATGAAATTCAATTTATTCAGCTTTGACGGCCTGCGGTGTGGGTTCCAGACATAAAGCGTAAAGTTGAATAAAAAACATTCGATTTTTAAATTCAAATGGATTGGGGGTTTTTCAGGAGTGTCAACATGTGATATGGGTACAGTAATGATTTACATAAAATATGTAGGATTGGATTATTAGTATTAAATACTGATTAAGTTAGGTACTTGAAAATGGTCAACATTAAAGGATGTTTATTATAATTTTGAGACTTAAATAGGTTTTTGGATAAATACAACGTTGGCCGAGTGGTCGCAAGTGCGACTACCGGACAAAAGGTCTAGTGTTCGATTCCCGAGTCGGGTAAAGTACCCTACTGGTTTTTTCTAAATTCTCAGTAATAACACGGAGTCTGGCCCGGTATATGGCAATTGGCTCACCGCTCCCCCGTGCACCTCTGTCTACTCCTTCGGGGTTAAAAGGCATGATGTTATATACTTCATGATACCTATATTATACAAATAAATATTCTGATTCTGAGGAAATAAATTTCCGTTATCTGAAAGGTTAAGGTGTATTACGTATCTCATCCTACATCTGGCTGTTAACGCCAATAATCATCTACCAATTTTTATCAGGCCCTGAAAGACCCAGACATAAAAACCGCTAATACCCATATTTCTATACTTAAAAAGAATAGACTCACTCAAAAATAATATCGAAATGAGAGCTCTATGACCTTGACTGGTTCGACTCGACATTTCGTCATTTTCGCAAGTTGTGACATATTACATAATAGGGTTGGGCTACTTGTTACTCGCCAAACGGCATCGGCAGACGTGCCCACCACCTGTGCACTAATTACATCACTATTGTCTGACAAGCATGCTAATAGCAGTGATGACTTGTTCTCGTCTGGAGTTTAGCCAATCTATGTTTTAAGTAAAGCAAAAAACATTGCATCATAATGAATCATTATACATTATTTTCAAATAATTTTACCTTTTGTACGAGCAAAGTACGTGTGTTACATTTAAAGCTATTTAACCTTCTGAGAATACCTAATCATTATCAATTGCAATAATTAGATTTTGTGACCGGGATTTGTTTTCATTAGGATATTCTCCTGTGTCGTAGGTGCGTTTACAAACATACAAGTTCACATACCAGACCCAGAACAACAATTTGTGGATCACACAAAAAGTTGTTCCGTGCGGGAATCGAATCCGCGACACGTTGCGCGGCAGCCGGGATTGCCCAGCCAACGCACCAACCGTGTCGCCAAAATAGCTTATCTGTATATTATGATCATGAGTTCTGAATTCAAAACATTAGAAAAACACAAAAAAATCAATAATCCCTTAACTCAGTCGATATTAAACTTAGTACTTAATATCAGTATAAAAAAAAAGTTATAAAGAATTCTAAATATACTTATTTGACTTATTATTTTGAAGATCTGCAGAATTGCGTACGACAACAAATAAATGTGTAAACAAGTTACTTTCAAACATGACAATCAACTCGTAATCCCCGCGTTTTACTGAAAGCTTTTAATATCCAAGTTAAACTCGTGAGTCCTCGTAAATTGTGCGATTAACTTTCAAATTGAATCTATGTATGTGTGAAGATAATAAGAGTTATATACGTCAGTAGGTATTATAATTATGTTTGGTTATTTATTTGATTAAAAAGAAATGGATTTTCATTTCATAAGTCAGTTTCTCAAAATAATTTATTTTAACCGAAGAAAATGTACTTAACATTTTTATATATTTTTAAGCGATTTCAAAAATAGAAGGAAGTTCTCATTTTGACCTATATGTGTGTATATGTGTATGTATGTATGTCATTTGTGCGTGATTATCTCGCGATTGGCTGAACCAATATGAATGCGGTTTTCAGAAAAGTGTTTGTTAAACTTAGGAGAAGGTTCTACGGTTGATTTATCAATCATCAGTTAATTCTTAACTGTTGAATAAAATTGACGTTTGATAGTTTTCAGTATCGATGATTTGTCAAATATTCAAAGCTATTCCTCAGTTAAAATTTATTAGGCATTGGAAAAATCGGCCCTTCGTGTTAACCGACTTTCAAAACTGTAGGTTTTAACTCGGTTCCTTAAAACGTAGTCTATAAAAGAATCAATCATCAATTCAAGACATATATCAGCCAATGGTCCCTCCTCTGCTGAACTATGAGCCTCCTTTCTCTACGTAAAAGAGTTTGGCATAATATCTAGGCAAAGCAGGTGGTTTGAACATAGCGGTTCAAAAGAATAAAATCTATCAGACCAAAAACTCTACTGTAAAATATAAATCTCTCTAGTTTGGTACAAAAAAAAACAAAACCCCAAAGAATTAAGCAATTAATTAAAAAAGATACAACGGCTCATTACCATAACACTAGAACAACAATAGCCCTGAATCGCGCAAGTGGGCGATGATGGTATGATGCCGCATCTTCTCAAGTGACAAAAGGAAAGGGAGGTAAGTACGCCATTACGTGACGTCACTCCTGT